ACTCTCAGGACCTCTCAGGATTTCCGAGTCAGAAATAATCCCAGCATATCTGAGGCTCGCAAAGCTGCTTCGAGAATAGGTCCAAAATATGATCCATGACAGCAGCTTGCACTCATCCACGTAGGCAACTTCGGTCAAGGACTCTGCGTTGCAATTCGAAACACTGATGCTGTTCCACAAGGCAAACACCATGGAGCCCAAGGAGCTGCTTGCAGAAGATCACGTCAATTCCACCCAGACTACTGTAGGGCAGCAGGGATCAACGAGAAGATTTGCGGATCAGGACCCCCAGGTGAAGCAGGTGAAGCAACCCAATGTTGGAAGGATTCATCCATGACATGCTGAAACAAGTGAAGTCGACAAGTGGTGAATAGTTATGCATTCATATTCATTCATAGAAGGACCCCAAGATTGGATGTTTCGATACTTGCAGTGTTGCATTGGTACTGCCAATTTTTGGGGACTTAAAAAGGCCTTACCAAGAGATTGAATCCTTCTCTATGAAATCGCCATTTGAAAACGGTGCAGCTGTGCCATGGTATAATTCAGACACACCCAAAGTCACCCAAATATCTTTTGTGTTGCTCATACATCCCCATATCACCAAATTTCTTGGTTCAATCACCGTTGTGGATGGTTAAAATCCATCAAGTCACTATTTTGGTATACCCTCTGGTAACGTGGCAATGAAAAATCCCCAACGTCGACGTTTATAGCTGGGAAAATCATCGAACTAGATCGGGGATATTCCAGCAAGCCAGGTTTGCTTACCGGATGGTATCCACCCCAATAAAACCCATGGAATTCTCATTCAATTCCAAAAAAAACAGAATACTATTAAATATAGTAAATCCCATTAAATCACCATTAAATATAATTACGAAATCTACTAAATCCCATTTAATCACCATAAAAAAATCACCATTTTTGTTGGAATCCCATTTTACCAAGGCTTCCCATCACTGCGGGCAGCGCATAGGCACTGCCAGATCCCCGCGGATGCCTTTCTCACCCTAAAGAGGCGCGTTCGTTTGTCCAACCGTGAGCAGTTTTGAAGAAAAATACCACTGCAATAAGAGATTTTACCCATGTTTACCCAAAGAAAATGGGAAAAATGTGGTATGGTGTGGTGACTATTATGAGTTTTCCTGGTGATATGATGATTATTATGAGGATATAACCACAGAAGTGGTTGTAAAACCAACCATTCTGATCATTCTGTGCAGATATTATGGAGATGCAATGGTGATATCAGCGGGATAAAACCATGGATGGCACTTATAGGAGGCAGAATATCATATGTTGGAGATTTGTGCTATGTACTCCATTAACTGGTAGTGGATATTAACCAGCCATCATAGAGGGATCTTATCAACTCTTGGCTCATGGAGATTTCATTAAAGTTGATTTTAACCAGCAAAAATAAACATATGCTTGATAAGTGACGGTTGGGGTATGGCCGGTCCATGATTATTGCCATAGTGGTGATATACTATTACTGGGATCATATGGGATAATGAGATGTAAAACTTGTAGAACCACTAATAGAACATATGTTTTCTGGTTGATGATTATTGTGGTCTCTGTACCATCTATGGCCGTCTATGACACTATGGATTGGATCGGAATTCATGAACTGGGAGTCCCCATTGACCAAACATTTCAGGGATCTTCCACTAGGTGTTTGGCACTGTAACTGGGTTGTAATGTAGTTATTGCCAACGTACTAACTGGGATGCACAGCAAAAAGTGCACAGCAAAAAGTAAGTGGTTTCCGCGAGATTTAAACGGTGTCTTCTTTTGCCTTCATCCATTGGGACATCATGAAAGGAGGGATACTAATATACATATATATATATATGTATGTATGTATATATATATATATTGCCTTATCCCATAGAATGAAAATTATCCACAATGGCTAAGCATTATGAACCATTATTAACCATTATAGTCTATTTTTGTTGGTTGCGCATTCTTTGAACACACCGGTATTGGGAACGCAGAGAGCACAGGTATTTCTACTATTCCATGAAGCTTGGCGACAAGATGTCGATCCTCTTCCTGAACACCGTGTGCCGAGTCCAAGATATGCAGATCATGATGGCGAAGCCCGAAACGACGAATGATGTCATTTTTTAGTGGATTTATAATGGATTTGTAGTGGATTTACCCATTGAAAATGATGAGTTAATGGGATTTTAATGGGTTACCCTCTGGTTATGATTAACATAGCCATGGAAAGATCCACCCATTTTTAATAGGTGAACCATCTTTTTATGGGCCGTGGCTTCCATGGCTATGTTAAATTACCAGATGGTATTAGGGTATTTAAGTGGGAAGAATATGGTTATGTCACCAGTGAAGATGATTTAAATATCATGGTGGCAGAATTTGAGATATGATGGATTCAACCAACAGATATGGGAACAGAGAATGATAGATACTCAACCAACTCATCAGGGTATTTAGTGAGTATAGTGTGTAATATAATTGTGAAGATAACCAACCAACATGTGTGAGAACATAGCCGGTGAATAATGGTATTTACCCAACCAATAGTAATTGGGATGTATTGGGGATAGGGATATATTATCAAATATTATATATGTATATAGATATATATATATATATTAATATTATTATTATTATATTATATATATATATATGACATTTGGGTCTGTCTGAAAATGGGGACTAACCCCCAGCTATTTTCAGACAAGCCCATAGTGTGGCCGCCCAGCCCAGTGTGGCCAATCATCTTTAGATATCTTGAGTATGTTCAGCATTTCCTGAGTTACCGAATTCTGGCCCATACATGAGATGAAATCACTGTTGGACCAAAACTCATGATCGGCCCGCTGGATTGAGCTGAAGATTTCATGGACATCAGCCCCTCCACAGGTGGATCAACCCTAATGGATCATTCTGCTTGGGCCATTGGGGCGGTGGCGGCTACCATTTAGGGGCATCCTTAGATTTAAGTGTCCACAATTTTTGATGGTTAAATCCCATTG